ATACTATTTATATTATCACTCCAAAAATGGAATATGTAGGTATAAATTTAACAAAGTATGTATACAAGCTATATGATAAAAACTATAAAACTCCAATTAAAAAAACAGAGAAGAGCTAAATAAATGGAGAGATATTCCATGTTTGTGTATAGCAAGATTCAATATTGTCAAAATAACAGTTCTTTACAGCTGATCTACAGAATCAATGCAATCTGAATAAAAATCCTAGCAAGTTATTCTGTGGATATTGGCAAAATGATTCTAAAGTTTATACGGAGAGTTAAAAGACCCAAAATAGCCAATGTGATATTGAATGAGAAGAACAAAATTAGAATGCTGAGACTCCCCAAAATTAATACTTGCTGCAAAAAGCTACAGTAATCAAGACAATGTGGTATTAGTGAAAGAATAGATAAGTAGATCAATTAAGCAGAATAGAGAGCTTAGAAACAAACCCATATAAATATAGTCAACTGATCTTTAACAAAGGAACAACAGCAATACAATGAAGAAAAGATACTCTTTTCTTTTTTTTTAAGATTTTATTTATTTATTTATGAGAGAGAGAGAGAGAGAGAGAGAGAGAGAGAGAGAGAGAGAGAGAGGCGCAGAGACACAGGCAGAGAGAGGAGCAGGTTCCATGCAGGGAGCCCAACGTGGGACTCGATCCTGGGTCTCCAGGATCATGCCTGGGGCCAAAGGCGGCACTAAACCGCTGAGCCACCAGGGCTGCCCAAAGATACTCTTTTCATCAAATTATGGCAGATATTCACATGAAAAAGATGAATTTAGACACAGACATTAAACCTTTCACAAAAATTAACTCAAAATGAATCATACACCTAAATATTAAAACATAAAATTAGAAAACTCCTAGAAGATAACCTTGGGTATTGTGATGACTTACTTTTTTCTTTTTCTTCCTTCCTTCCTTCCTTCCTTCCTTCCTTCCTTCCTTCCTTCCTTTTAAAAAATATTTTACTTATTTATTTGAAAGAGAGAAAAAGAGAGTACAAGCAGGGAGAGGGAGAGAGGGAGAAGCAGGCTCCCCACAGAGCAGGGATCTGAATGCAGCAGTCCATCCCAGGACCCTGGGATCATGACCTGAGCTGAAGACAGACTCTTAACTGACTGGGCCACCCAGGCACCGCTGTGATCATGTCAAAGACATGATCCATGAAAAAATAATTGATAAACTGGACTTCATTAAAATTAAAAGCTTATGGGTACCTGGCTGGCTCAGTCAGTAAAGCATGTGACTCTTTATCTTGGGGTTGTGAGTTTGAGGCCCAGACTGGGTGTAGAGTCTACTTTTAACAATGACAACAACAACAACAAAACAGTCTTTTCCTCTGTGAAAGACACTGTCAAGAGAATGAAAGGACAAGTCACAAACTATAAGAAAATATTTGCAAAAGATAAATCTGATAAAGGGCTATTATACAAAACATACAAATAACTCTAAAAAACCAAAATAAGAAAATGAACAACTCAATTTAAAAATTAACAAAAAACCTGAACAGGCATCTCCTCAAAGAAGATGTACAGATGGCAAATAAACATACAAAAAGATGCTCCACACCACATATCATGAGAGAACTGCAAATTAAAACAATGAGATTCTACTATATATCTATTAGAATGCTCCAAATCCAGAACACTGACAAGACCAACTGTTGGGTGGATATGGAGCAGTAGGAATTCATTCACTGCTGGTGGGAATGCAAAATGGTACAGCCACTTTGGAAGACTAGTGGCTTCATATAAATCTAAACATACTTTACCATAGAATTCAGTAGTCATACTCCCTGGTATTTACCCAAGGGAATTGAAAACCTATGTCCATACAAAAGGCTCCACATGGTGGGGCATCTGAATGACTCAGTTGGTTAAGGGTCCAATTCTTGGTTTTGGTTCTGGTCATGATCTCAGGGCCATGAGACCAAGCCCTGTGGTGGGCTTCACACTCAGAGAGGAGTCCGCTGGAGATTCTCTTTCTCCCTCTGCCCCTCTCCCCAACCCTCAAATAAATCAATAAACAAACATTTTTTAAAAAGCTGCAAGTAGATATTTATAACAGCTTTATTTATAATTGCCAAAACTTGGAAGCAACCATGATACCTTTCAGTAGGTGAATGGATAAATAAACTATGGTACATACAGACAATTAAATATTATTCATCACTAAAAAGAAGTAAGTTATCAAGCCATGAAAAAACATGGAGAAAACTTAAGTGCATATGTCAGAAGCCAATCTGGAAATGCTGTGTAATGTGTGATTCCAACTACATAGCATTCTGGAAAAGATAAAACTATGGGGACAGTAAAAAAGATCAGTGATTGCTAGGCGTTAGGTGAGGAAAGAGGATTTTTAGGGCAGTAAAATTATTCTGTATGATACTATAATGGTAGATGCATGTCACTATACATTTGTCCAAATATATAAAATATACAACACCAGGGGTAAACCCTACTGTAAACTATGGACTTTGGGTAGTACTGATGTGTCAGTGTAGGTTGATTGCAACACATGTACTATAGTGGGGGTGTTGATAACAGGAGACTCTGTGGGGGGGCAAGGGTATACAGCTCTGTACCTTCAGCTCAATTTTGTTGTAAACCTAAAAAATTAAAGATGATTAAAAAATATATGCACATGGTAACAAAAACTTCCAAGCAGTTTAGAAGTATAAAATGAAAAGTAAGTCTTTCTTGTCCTTCCTTAACTTCCAGGTTCTCCCCTCAAAGGCAACCTCTGTTAACTGATTTTTATGTATTCTTTCAGAAAATGTTATAACTTTATAAGAGCATATACTTCTTTTAACATTTTTTACACAAAACACACTATGCAATAAATATGGTCCTGCATCTTTTTTTTTCCCAGAGCCTGATCTTAGAGATTGATCTTTATCTACACATGGAGATTGGGCTCATTTTTTTTTTAAATACCAGCAAGGCATTTTATTGCAGTTCACCCAGCCACTTCCTTAATGATTGTGAAAGTTTTCAAAGGCTCTTACCAATAGTGGTGCAATAAACTTCCTTGTAATTTTGTAGCACATCTATGGGGAGATTTATAGCTGTAAATTGCTGGGTTGGTAGGTATGTGCATTTCTATCAATGTTGTCATAATTGTCCTCTTCAGAAGTTACACCAACTTGTACTCCTAACAACCAACAGTGCAGGGGTGCTCATACTTCTGCTAATGCTAAATATTATCAACATTTGCAGGTGGGTTTTTTTTTGGACAATTTGATAGGTGCAGATTATATGTGGTGTTGTTTTGTTTTGTATCTTTTCAGTTATAAGGAAGGCTGATCCTGTTTTGATGTCATCAGACTGTTTACATTGCTTTTTTTCTTCTGTGATCTGCTTGTTCATGTTCTTGGTACATTTTTTCACTAGCTTATTAGCTTTTTTCTTATTGACTTCATTGAATTACAAAGAGTTCCAAATATTGAAGTAGAGATGAACTTCAGAAAAAATGATCTGGGAAGTTGAGCAGTCTGGATTGAAGGACAGAATGTGAAGCAAGACCAGCTTCTGAAGCCTCCAAAGGTGACCTTGGAGAGAGATGACAAGGTTGTAGATGAGAAAGGGGACCAGGGAAGTGGCAGGAGGATATGGGAGCATTAGGTTGAGATAGAATTGACTGGCTGTGGCAGAAATGGATTTGGAAGATAAGGGAAGAACCAAGAACGATAGCTGACTCCAGCAGTAGTGACTGGCAGATTTATGTGACCGGTGATAACAGAGAGAGACGCTGGAGGAGGGTGAGTTGTGGGCTAGGGAGGAGGACTGAGAATCCTCAGTCTGTGGGGGAGGAATATACTACAAGTGCTAGGTGGTTTTCTCCAGGCACACAAGGTCAGTGTCTTTCCCTTCCTGGGAGCTGTGTGTCTCATGTGTCAGGAGTCTCCCAGTAAACATGCATGGGAGGGAAGCAAATATGTATCTTGGGTGTCCAGGCTTGTCTGGAGATGTTTATGGATTCATGTTTATGGATATCTTTTAAGATGCTCTACGGTCTAAAGGGAAAGAGAAAAGAGGCCCTGATCTGACTCCCATGACTGCCAGAATGTAAATTCAAAGTTAGATCATTCCTCCAGACTTAGTTTTTTATTTTTTAAAGATTTTATTCATTCATTCATGACACACACACACACACACACACACACACACATGCAGAGAGAGAGAGAGAGAGAGAGAGAGAGAGAGAGAGAGAGGTAGAGACACAGGCAGAGGGAGAAGCCTGACATGGGACTCGATCCCGGGTCTCCAGGATCAGGCCCTGGAATGAAGGTGGCACTAAACTGCTGAGCCACCTGGGCTGCCCTTTCTCCAGACTTTGAACCACAGCTCCCAGAAGTGTGGATTCCTCAGACCAACAGTATGTTATGAAATATGTTTCGTGCTGACATAAGGGCAAAATTTTTCATTTTATAAAAGAGTTACTTCTATCTTAATTTTCTGTAAAGAAAAAAAATTTTCTGTAAAGAAAAGGAATTTTGAAATGGCAAATGTTGCCTTGGATCATGAGCAAAAGAACTATATCTGGTGATGACAGTATATTGCCCTGGAGAAAACCTGAGGCCTGAGAACTTCAGGGAACCCAGTCCCCATCTATTTTGGAGGCAGTATAGCTATCTCATTACGGGGTGAGAATAAACCTCTAAGTTGGGTGAAACACTGTTCTCTGGAATTCTTCTATTTTTTTTATAGCAGAATCCAATCCTAATGAATACAGTCCTCACTATTGGGAGTTTTGTTAGGTGTACAATTTTTGTTTTTCCTAAGCACTTTGGTGATTTTGTTCCATTGCTGTCTGGCTGGCATTATTCCAGCTGAGAAGTCTGTTATTTAACGTTCTTCATAAATGGCTGCTTCCTCTCTGTTTTGTGTTCTTTAATTTCTTGACAATATGCCCAGATGTTGATTTCTTTTTGTTTACATTGCTTGGTTTATGATGACCTCTTTTGTGGCTTAATGACTTTTCATAGCTCTGGAAATTTTTCAGCCGGTACGTCTTCACAATTGCCTCTCAAGTTGCTTATACCCAGCATGCAGAAAGCTCAAATGAGTGCTACTCCCCAGAACCCAAGGGCCACTGTAAGTGGACCTGAGATGTGAGTAGCACTGGCCCACGTATTCCACAGAAAGAAAGAGATGCAGAATACCAAATGAGTGAGTAAGAACAATTCACCTAAGATTTCGGAAATTGTCAAACATCAAGTGCAGGCTAGTATGATAGCACAAGACTCCTGGGATCCCAACACAAGAGAAGTATTCACATCCACTTGCAACCTCTTTTCCAGGTACTCATGAGAAAGACTGAAGGCAGAGAATCTCCCTCCATGGTGAGGACCCAGAGAGAGGGAGTGGGAAATAAATTCTTATCTCTATGGAACAGAAGCATCAAGCCACTGGGGTAGGGGTAGCAAGCCTGGTCAGCTTCAGGGAAGAGGCAAACCTTGCTGTAGCTAAGGAAGTGTATAAGAACAAGCTTTCTGGCTGTCTAGAACACAAATGTGATGGTTGGAGCTCCAGCAGTCATTTTGGCCCAGAAGATGATGTGATTTGGAGGCTATGGGCTGGGATGGTGTGGCAGAGAGAGGAATCAAAGTCCTTGATGATGAAAAACTCCCATACCAGCTCTGAACTTTCTGAACTTTTTAATGAGACACAAGAAATTAATATCTTGCTTAAACTACTATTTTACTAAAATTTTCTGTTACATTCAGCCCCCTGATTCCAACTAACCAGAATCAGACCTATACCTTATTTATAGAGAAACCTTATGTCCCTGGGAACTCCCTAAATCATGAACACCATGTATAAACAAAGATTCAGCTAGGCTGGACAGTAACCTCGTCCTTATAAATTCCAGTTTATATTATATTATATTATATTATATTATATTATATTATATTATATTATATTATATATAATCTTCCAGGTTAAAGCTATCTCAGTGTAAAAGATATTACTAGGATAAAACTTTTTGAGTATTAAGGTCTGAGGATAAGGAGTCTAAAAACTATGGCTCCCTTAGAATGCCACTTTCTACTTAGTTGCCATATGAAGTCACAGAAACTTATCCAAAAATAAACTAGGTAAATTGCTTCCTCTAGTGGTGACTAGATTTATACCAGGTTGTGGCTTGAGGGTTCCGTTTTGTTTTGTTTTGTTTTTGGATCCTCACCCCATCAACACCCAAATAAATAACTGGTCTCTATATAAATTGGTTCTTGTAATCCATATAAAATTGAAAATTGTGTGGACCAGTGCTATCATTCTACTTGGACCTTTTGGTAAAGTTTTAAAAACATAATGTTTCTATAATAATTCTCCATATAATTGAATTGATTATTAATAATCATCTATCCATATTTTATTAACTTATTAATAAATTTTTGGACTACTGTGATACTGGGAAAGTTAATATTTCTATCTTAATATTTTTAAGAAAACTGAAGTTCAAAATTAAAATGGATTGGTCAAAGAAAATAATACTAGTATATATTAGGGACTGAATCTAAATCGAAGGTCTAATATATTTTTATATATATGTAAAATACATACACAAAGACAGACAAACACATATATATGTACTTAACCAATGGAATAAAGAACTGAGAAGGTTTTAGATAAAGCTTCAAAAACTCGTTCTTATCTGTATTCTCCCTTTCATTTATCATATTAAATTACCCCTATAGTTATTAGAGGCTCTTCCTAATCAATTCCTGAAGGTAGAACATAAGTGCCTCTTTACAGTTTACTGGTACAGTGTGAAGATCATACTAAAAGGCAGGATACTCTGGACAGATACCATTTGAAATAAATGCCCAGATATTTGGGCTAGGAATTAGGAAGAATAAGTACAGTCCTCATACAGTTCCCAAGATCTATACCTATGTGTACTTATCAAAATATAGAACATGCTGCTTCTTCCTAAAACCCAAAATGAAAAAGGAAACAAATCTGTAGTGAACATTATCCACAATTGAGGCTGATAGAAGCTTCAATAACCACTCTAAAGGAAGAATGTGGTGAATTCTGTGCTGACTGTGCTGACTCTTAAAGCCTCATTCCAACTGATACATATTTTTGCTCATAATTCATTGGTCAAAGCAAATCACATGGCCATACTTGCTTCAAAAGGTACAAGGCTGCAACCCCATAATGTGTCAGGAAAGAGGAGAGACTGAGCATTTTTGAATGGTCTTAACATTAGCATATGCTCAACACAGGTATAATTCAAACATGGGATGACAAGATAATATATGACATGTTTTAAGATTAAGAAAATATTTTTAAAAAGTAAGAAAAAGATTCATGAAAAGCTTCATGAAAGAGGGAAATCTAATTAATATGCTTTTATATCAAGATTCAATAGAAAATGACAGTAAAGTTCAAACATCTAAAAGTATATTTGAAAATTATATATTCTATTTTCTGTCTTGTTTTGTTTGGTCTTTGCAATTAATCTTGATGACAATTTGCAGTCATGTCAAACTTAATATCCAATAATTTTGGAAGTTCATTTACACATTTATGTTATATTTTAATTGTATTATTAGAATTTCTTTTTTTTAAGATTTTATTTATTTATTCATGAGAGACACAGAGACGCAGAGACATAAGCAGAGGGAGAAGCAGGCTCCCTGGGAGCTTGATGAGGGACTTGATCTCAGGACCCCAGGATCACAATCTATGCCAAAGGCAGATGCTCAACCATGAGCCACCCAGATGCTCCTATTACTAAAATTTCTGTTGTTGGATAGTCAGTGCAAAGTGAATTTGTTCAGTGGGGATTCCCACTTATTAACATGAACAGAAAACTATGCATTGAGCAATTGTCGGCAGACCTACTGCAGCTAAATGAAAGGCTTATAGACAGACTTGTTCATTTTCCCCCACTTGGCTCACAATCTAGACTTGGAGTCAATTTCACTATCCTGTAGTAGCAAAACGCTACTCATAAGAACCGGGGACAAAGACTACCAAGTATAAAATGTCACCTGATAGGGCACTAATACTTCTCAATGAAAATGAACAACAATGGGCATCAGTGGTTGTACAACTAAAACAGAATTAAGAATTATAATTCCTAATATACGTATGTTATAATTATAGGATACTTATAATTATCATAATTGCATGTAATTATTACATACCTTTTACATGCATATATGTTATATATTATATAGTGGAGCCAGCTTGTACTGGATCATGAAAGTTGACTGCAAGCATCTCTTTCCAACTCCACATTCAGTGACATTGTGTTGAGAGCTTGAAATCAATTCTTGTGAGAGTATTTATACCACAGAAGTTGGCTTGCTACAAATTTAGTCACTTTTCAGACAGCTGGTTAACAAGTATTTACCAGGACATCACTGAATGCAAGTGACTCTAGAATAATACATATTGGATATTTGTTTTATCTTCTTTGGAGAAATTTGCCCATTATAAAATTGGATTATTTATCTTTTTATGTTAGATACTAGATCCTTATCAGATATGTAATTTGCAAGTATTTGCTCCCATTCTGTGGATTTTCCTTTCATTTTGATAATGGTATAATTTTGGAGCACAAAAGTTTTTAATTTTGATGAAGGTTATTTTTTCTTTGGTTGTTTGTGTTTACGTGTTATATCCAAAACCCACTGCCCGCTCCAAGGTCATAAAGATTTATTCCTTTGTTTTCTAAAGAGTTTTATACTTTTGGCTCTCATATTTAGACCTTTGATCCATTTTGAGTTAAGTTTTGTATATGGTGTGAAGTAGGGATTCAAATTTGTTCTTTTGCATTTTTTTTTTTTTAGTGAAGGAAGGTTTTCTTTTTTTCATATGTATATTTTTATTGGAGTTTGATCTACCAACATATAGTATAACACCCAGTGCTCATCCTGTCAAGTGCCCCCCTCAGTGCCTGTCACCCAATCACCCCATCTCCCCCATCCACCTCCCCTTCCACTACCCCTTGTTAGTTTCCCAGAGTTAGGAATCTCTTATGTTTTGTCACCCTCTCTGATTTTTCCCACTCATTTTCTCTCCTTTCCCTTATAATCCCTTTCACTATTTTCTATATTCCCCGTATGAGTGAAACCATATAGTGATTGTCCTTCTCCGATTGACTTACTTTACCCAGGATAATACCCTCCAGTGTTCTTTTGCATGTTGACATACAGTTGTTACAAATCAATTGTTGAAAGACTATCCTTTCCCTTTTGAATCGTCTTGTCACCCTCGTTGAAAATCAATTGATCATAGATGTCTGGGTTTACTTCTACATTATCAATTCTATTCTTTGATTTATGTGTACATATTTATGCCAGTACTTGCTGTCAATTTCTGAAGAAAAGGAAATTGGAATTTTAATATGGATTGCATTTTATCTGTAGATGAATTTGGAGGAATATTTTCATTTTATGATATTAAGCCTTCCAATCAATGAACAAGGATGATTTTCTATTTATTCAGATTAAAATTTTTTTCAACAATATTTTATAGTTTTCAGTATACATCTTATCTTTCTTTTGTTTAATTTATTCCTAAGTATTTATACTTTTGGATGCTAGTGTAAAGGCATTGCTTTCTTAATTTCATTTTCAGATTGTTCATTGCTAGCGTGTAGAAGTACTACTGAGTTTTGTATAATGATCTTGTATCTTGCAGCTTTGCTGAAATCATTTACTAGTGCTGTTTTTGTTTGTTTTGTTTTGTTGTTTGTGTTTTTTGATTCCTTGGAATTCTTTATTTAGAAGCTTGGGTCATCTGTGAATAGAGATAGTTTTACTTCATTTTTTTCTAATCTGAATTTCTTTTACTTCATTTCCTTGCCTAATTGCCCTGACTAGAATCTCTAGTACAATAGAGAATAGAATTGGCAAGAGAAGCATCCTTGTCTTATTCCTGATCTTAAGAAAGCTTCAATCTTTCACCATTAACTATGATGTTAGTCATGGGTTTTTCTTAGGTGCCCTTTATCAGGAAATTCCTTTCTTATCCTAATTTATTGAAAGTTTCTTTTTTTTATCATGAAAAGGTGCTGGATTTTATCAAATGCTTTTTGAGGACCTCAGTGGCATCTGTCAAGATGACCATGT